GGGTCGAGTGACCATCTAAACAAACAAATAAAACTATAAACATGGCAAAAAAACAACAGCAAAAAGTTACATTTTTCAGATGCGTTTTGGCTCAAAATATTGAGATGAGAGTCGGGGCACATAATTTAGGTTGTGTACTGAATGTGTATTCTACTTGGATTTCAAAATGGAGGAGCACATACAGCTGCCAGGCCCTGAAATCCCTTAGTGATTTAAGATAATCACATCACTTCATATCGTACTCATTGAATGCACAACATACACTATATGTCAATGCTAGAAAGCATAACGAGGAATTAGTATATCACCTTGGGGCACAACATTTAGGATCAACAAATCATTTACTTCTTAAACAAAGTGTGGGAAACACTCCCACTACGGAATAAGGACAAATTCATAAAGCAGGAATACTGAACACTTATTTAATAGTCAATATGAAAGATACATGATACAATAGTATACAATAACTTGCAATCATAACATTCAAAAGTCATTAACAATAACAGACGAGGCTGCTACGGAAATGATCCCTGAGATTCTACATAGTTGTGCATTGTAAGAGACTGATATAAACCTATGGCATAACTTATAATGAAACCAATACACAAGTACAATCTAATCTACCCCAGAATAAATACAACAGAAACAAATATATGACATAGCACTGACCCTCTTATCAAACTCCTCTCATACCAAGTTTGGGCTGAAGCAATGCGTATTTCCTAAAATGTTGTGTTATTTTATTTCATAAAATAATAATAATTATAATATGGATATTAATAAAGCGCCGGTATCCACCGTGCTCTGACGCTCACGGCGCTGTACACATATGACCCTGGTTGTAGCCTAGCTGCCAAAGTAACTAGCGCTCAAGCATATCAGGATCCCATTTACACATGGGTGGAGAGTGGCAAATGTAGATTAACGTCTCGGCAGCGGAACTTTACCCCCGTACCTTGTGACCTGCAGTCGGCGACTTATCCACTCGACCACAACTTGATGTATTCACAAATGAATGTTCCAAGATTTTGAGTAATGATGTCCTGCTTTTTATTTATCTTGTGTCTTAGAAACTAGACTACAATCCTTTAAAGAAAACCAAATTTAATTACACTCTAACAGCAGATCAAGTTTCAACCTATCTAACCGATAAAAAATTACAGCAATTCTGAAATCAAAGGAATTAAATAAATCACTAATCATAATAACTGGAGGATAAATCTAAACACATTTCTCATACCATACTCCAATTCTGTAATCAAATCATTCATTCATTTCTCACACTCGTACATAATCATGCTTCCCATTAGCCCAGGTGTATTTTCAAAACTTTAACAGTACCCTTAAAGATAAACTTGAGTTCTGGTAAAAAAAGAAAATGAATTCTCACAGAATCTTACAAAACTTACACTGAATGTTCAAGATTACAAATAAATGTCATGTGCCAAACAATTTTGGAAGAAAATGTATACTGGCTGAGTAATGAGCACAGAAAGATAAGGAAATCAGGGTAGTACTAGCCCCGACACCATGTGTGTTGTCCCATATACATCTTTCTGTGTATTAAAGTGATTGTTACTTTACCAAGACTCTGCCAAATTTATGATGATTTTGATGACTCCAGAACCTTGCATTACACACCATTACTAACATGCTATATGATCAACTTTTCTGATCCATTTCACACCTTTTCTTTCACAATGCAATCGCATTACCAGAACTCGAGTTTATCCTTAACTGCATGACCCAAATTTCACATAACCCACAAAAAATTTTTTTTTTTCAATCTTTAACTCACTGCAAACACTGACCATGATCTTCATTACTTCCCCATTTTGGGTTAATGTTAAATTTCACAAGTACACATTTCAATACCCAATGTTTGGAGATAAGCTTATGGACATACAGCAGCAAACAAATACATGATTCATATCCCTACCAAATTTTGTAATTTGTGAAGTGTGTGAAAATTTGATTTGTCCTGATTCATGTTTCTTGAGAATATGGCATATAAAAGCTTAAATCTAAAAGTATTCAGCAAAGGCCCTAATTCCACTAGTCCTCATTTAATTCTTGAGTTACGAAAAACATCCCCCACCCCCCCCCCCCCAAAAAAAAAAAATGAAATTTACAAGCAGTATGAACAATTTAGTTGTTCACTTTATATACATGATTTGGGTAATGTCATAAGTTTCTGCCTAAAACTGAGATATTTAATTCAACTCTATGGATCAACAATCTATTAATATCATACCAATAAAATACATTTCTTTCTTCAACACTATTAATTTCTTCGTAATAATAATAATAAGAATAATAATAATGTATTCAAGATAAACTCTCCATGTATGATTTGACCTTAATCACATCATATCTAGCATTTATTGAGCTGTATTGAATGGAATCGAGTAAATAGTTTATATAATCAATTTTTTCTACACACATCTAATGTACTGACCTTCTAACATGTTCTATACTATTAATGTACGTCAAAATCCTGTATTATCTATAGAGGATCATTAAGGTATGAAGCAATAAACTGCAGTGATTTTTTTTTCTCCAGAAAGCATGAAAGTGATTGGCAACTGCACGCAACAAAGCTCAGATGTGTATTCACTGAGCTTTGCGCTATAGGGTACAGTAATGTGGAGCCTATTTCACAAAACAGAAACATGAAAACCTGAAGATGTTTAACAAGTGACACACCTGCACACTGCACCCTGCACATTGTATATAGTGCACGGAGAACAACCACCATCACTTCACCAACAGCACATCACCAACAGCACGCAAAACAGCACGCAACACAGCACAGCCCTCTCCAGGACAGCGTTCACGCTTTTGGGAGAGTAATTCTTCCAGGTTCAAGGTTATGTGATTATAATATTTTTAAACATGCTGCAGTATACCAAAGCATATCTGAATGAGGCCTTGATAAACCGACGTTTAGTACAGTTCCTTGAAGACAATGAACTGTATAAACCCAATCAAATTGCGTTCAGAGCGGGCTACAGAACGTCTGACCACATGTTTGTTCTAAAAACAATAATAGATAAATATGTAAGAGGCCGGGCAAAGAATGATAAGAAAGGTTTATATATATGTTTTATAGATTTAAGGAAAGCCTTTGACAATGTTTGGAGGGATGGTCTTTGGTATAAAATGTTAAAACAAGGTATTGGTGGTAATTTTCTGAGAGTGCTACATGACATGTATTTAAAATGTAAAGTATCCATATAACTAGACGAGGGCGTCACCTCGTGTTTCAATACGAATACCGGAGTAAAACAAGGGTGTGTCATTAGCCCGACATTATTCAATATGTTTTTAAATGATGTTGTAGATATTTTTGATACCTCAGTTAGTGAACCAGTAACGCTACATGACAAGGACTTGAACTGCATAATGTATGCAGACGATCTAGCAATTATTTCTAGATCCCCTCAAGGAATGCAATACTGTTTAGATAAATTCACTCAATATTGTAACTCTTGGATGTTGAATGTTAATGTCACCAAAACTAAAATAATGATATGTAATAAGTCAGGCAGGTTGAATGATAAGAGTGATTTTGAAATAAACGGGGAAAAACTTACCTCGGTAAAGGAAATGAAATATTTAGGCATTGTTTTTAGTAATAATGGATCGTTCAAAATGGCGACAAGGGACTTAGCGGATAAGGCCAGGAGAGCATTATTTAAACTTTATAAATCTTTCGGCAATTATACGCCCAGTATTAAAACCTTATTACACCTGTTTGATGCAACTGTACAACCAATTTTGCTTTATGGATCCGAAATTTGGGGTGCTAGTGCAATAGACATGAAGAAAATTCTTCAAATAGAAACAGGGAAAACAGGACTGTATTATAAAAACGATTTTGAGAAAGTACACATTCAGTGTTGTAAAAATATCTTGGGGGTAAACCGCAAATGCAGCAATTTAGCAGTTTCAGCTGAAATTGGAAGGCATCCTCAACTTATTCAAATTGCAATAAACATGCTCAAATATTGGATACGAATACGGAGTTTGGATGAAAATGGCCTTGTCTATAAATCTTTTAAAGAAAACAAAAAATTAGTAAATAACGAACAAAGCTGTTGGTTAATGTCAATTCGGGATATCTTTAGTTCACTAAATATTTGTAATAATGGAAATGAGACCGTATTGGACCCTGAAAATATACAAATTTCTCATAAAGATTTTGTCGAGTTATGTAAACTTTGTTTGGAAAGGAGATTTGATGAACAATTAAAACTAGACTTATTTGATGATAGGGATACCCGTAAAGGAAATAAACTCAGAACCCTCAGACAATTTAAAAACTCAATCAAGCAAGAAAAGTATTTATCTCATATACCAAATATAAATTTAAGAAAAAATATCACCAAACTACGTCTAAGCGCGCACAACTTACCCATAGAAACAGGAAGGTATAAAAGACCAGAAAAAACTCCCCCGAATCTACGATTCTGTGAAGACTGTAATATGAATCTTGTAGGAGATGAATTCCATATAATTATGAAATGTGACAAGTATAAAGATTTACGAGTAGATTTTATAGAAACAATTAGTAATCTGGAAGAAAATGTTTGTAATTTGGATAGTCAAGAAAAATTCATATTTATAATGAGATTAGATAATGAAGTTGTAATAGATAGTTTTTCTTTGTTCACCAAAAACATAATTGCAATGAGGGGTAATTTTTAGATACTATATGTTATAACAAAGTAGTCGTGTACAATCTTATGCTTTTGTTTTAGTTCTCATTTACATATTTCGTATTGCATGACTTATTGTTTATTTAGAAAGGTGTTGTAAATGTTTTATATTATGTTTTATATATCGATTGTTGCATTACATTGTAAAGTGATTATAACTATGTCTATAAACAGAATATTGATGTACATCAATGATGTTTAATAAATACAATACATACATGTATCAGTAATCCAATGACAACTCAGTAAACCTGTTTGTGTGTATATTACATTTCTATATTTTTATGTTCTAGTCCTGCGGAAAAAGCACCTCTGACCCTCTTTGAGCAATGTTTTTTCTTCTTTTTTCCGTAGAAATAATTCACCTGTGGGGACCAATCTAACTATTTCAAACTTATAAATATTTGTTGACCTTGTCTTTCTAAAAAGACAGAAATAATAAGCTTAAGGGATGTGAAGGCACACATTAGGTTCCATCCTTACTGCTCACACTACCTTGCATAGATGTGATAGGAAAATAAATTTCTTTTGAGTTGATTCAAGCTCTTGCTATTCCAGTTCCTTCATTGGGAGTAGCGCCCTCAGGGTCGGGAGAGGTCTTACCAATGTTGTTATAGAATGGAAACTCACAGCAGAAGAGACACTTGACGGCTGAGGGCAGAACCTGGTAGAGGCGTGGCCAAAACAAGAGTAATGGACTGGTTGATTTCTTGAAGATTACGTAGGAATCAAGTCTGTTCATGACATAAACAAAACAGAAACAGGAAAAAGATATTATCAATTAATTATCATCAATTAAAAGCTACAGCATCATAAGAGAGTTTCAGGTTGAAATCCTACCTTTTTCAGCAATGCTTGACACAAGAATATGACACTTATACAGACTCTTATTTATGATCTATTTTTCATTGTGTGCCTCAGAAACAGAAGAAAATAAAATATAAAATTATAATTATTAAAGAGCGGAGATGACAGGTGAACCAACAACCAGTGTTCAAAACTGCCACAAACTTTCTTTTCATGTCTATAGTAGTCATTCCTACCCCTCCCCCCCTCCCACAAAAAAAAAAGAATTTTGGAGGTTGATACTCACTGTCCATATCTTTCATCAGCACTCTTTTCCAGTAGGGGGATGCCACTCAAGGTTAGTAGAATAAGCGAGATGAATAGAGGGCCTAATACAGCAATCCATTCAACACCAGTTAATACACTACAGCTCATGATGAACATACCCCACCATAGCATGATCTCACCAAAGTAGTTTGGATGCCTAGACCAGCTCCACAAACCTGCAGAAAAGAGAACATTGACACTGTTCATGGCTATTCAATATTTTGTTAACAATGTGTATGTTTTGGGATTTTTTACAGACGTGTATCAATCAGATATGACTATTTACGTCTGGAAACCGACCTTTAAACATCACCATCCGAAAGACGTGACTCAGTTTTGAACCGGCGTCCTCAGCTGAATCAGTTTGTAACTTCCATTGTTAGCTGGATGTCAGGCACACGTCACAACAACTAGTTAACCACAATACTGTGCCTTTAACTTGTTATGTGCTACACAAATAATCATCCTGTGACACAATGTATTTATCATGGGATGGATATACCAAATACTTGAAGATTATATAACTGTTTCAGAGCAAGATCAATCTATACCGGTGTTAAAGATGAAGTTGAGTTCTGGTCATCCGATTGCATTGTGAAAAAAACGGTGTGGAGTGGATCAGAAAAGGTTGATCATATCTAGCATATAAGAATTTGTGTGTATTGCAAGGTTGTGGAATCATCAAAATGATAAGAAATTTTGCCAAGTCTTGGTAAAGTTACAAACACTGTACACAGAAAGATGTATATGGGACTACACGAAAACGTGGCGTAAAAAACCTACCCCCCCCCCCCCAAGTTTTACGATGAACATGACATATTTAGAATATGAAGGCATTTAAAAAGCCATGCTTTTCAGGGAACATTTCTTATCTGATGTTCTTCCACACTTGCATAATAAGAATGATAAAGTTCACAAATTATTTTTCACCTCTTCCCAGAACTCAACCTTCTCTTTAAGAGGGTTGTCATGGAGCTAATCAAGACCTGAAATCTGTAATTTTACAAAGTCATTGTGTTGCACAAGCCACTAGCAATCCTACTGACAATTTGCATCTATATGAATGACCATGCAGAGAGGCAAAGAAAGAGACCAAACTGTTCATTTACAGATTGTGTAGGTACGTACTACAGCCAGTTTCTTTATACATGCAGTTGCAATTAAATGCAAGCTAGTCAACACTTAAGCTTTGACAAAACAATTTTAATGCAATTCTTATATCTGGAGAAAATTGTATTGCAAATGTGAGAAATTTTAGCCTCCAATTATTTTCTAGCTATCGCTGTGACCTTTGACCATATTACCCCAAATCTTAACCAATTCATCTGATAAGGGTGAAAGTTTGTAGACACAGGTATAAAGATTTAAGGTAAAGACCAGTTTTGGAAACGCCCCCCTCTCAATAAATGAAATGGAAGCTCTTATTACTAATCATGTGAAAGAATATGTTTTGTCTCATACATGATGATAACAATTTTGCCGGGAAACCGCCTACTAATTGATATATTTGGTAAATTGGTTTATCTATTTGGACGTGATAGATATCACGTGTGCGTAGTCCCATATACGGTACATCTTTCTGTGTACAGTGCTTGCAACCTTACGAAGACTGGGCCAAAATTCTTATGATTTTGATGATTCCAGAACCTTGCAGTGCACACCAATACTTATATGCTAGTTTCTTTCACAATGCAATCGCATGACCATAACTGGTCTTTATCTTTAAAGATAATGCCTCTTACTGAACAAGACATATTGCTATAAGACAGCACCACTCTAAAGGACAGAGGCTTTAGAATTGGACTTCAAGTTTTGGATGCAAGTTATTCATAAAGGAAATTGGGAAAAGGAGGGGGAATGAGAGAAAAACAGATAAGTAAAAACAATTTCAGAAGGAATCTTAAGTTTTATTTATCTTCTTGATATGGACCTGGTGAGTGGTGACTATCTTTCAAGATTACATAATATCTACTTCAAAGAGGAAGGAAGTACTTCCTGCAGAGATGAACTTTCAGTCTTTCACTCAAACTGTACAATTTTAGTTTAAAATGGTCATTGCTAGGTTTTCACTTCATCCTCTTGACATCAACAGCTTGTTTTCACATTATTTTTCATATAATTATATCAGTGTTTTTGGTACATGTAGACGTCTACTTCATAAGATATCACAGATTTAGTCTGATTTTGGATGGAAAATCTAGCCGAGATGGTACAAGCATGGTGCAAACATATATGAAGACATGGTTGCACTCCTATTGCTTTTCTTGAATATTCAAGGAAACTAATCAAAAGAAATTTTAAGTTGTTGTTCATCTAAACTGCAAAAAAATAAGATCACTAGGGAGGTGACAGTGTCTAGAAGATTTGGGGTGGGGGCAGTGAAATTTCAATCTGCAAAGCATGAAGAAACAGATTATCTCTATCATTTAACAAAAGCAAGGAAAGGAATACCTGCTTGACACCATTTCCCTTTGTTGGCTGGGTCGTTGCGGAAATTGAACTTCTGTTGGTCAGCAATGGTCTCGATAATTAGACCAAGACTGAACAGGGCTGTCCCTACGTAGTCCAGGGCCTCAAAAGAAGTTCCCTCGTTGTATTTCTTAGCATTGATGAAGATGAGTGGGAGACTTACAGTGAAGACCCATACAGCCTGTAGCAGGAAGAAAGATCAACCTTACATAAATAATTTAATACAGAGTGATACAAAAAAAGGGGTCTCTTGGATAAAAGAAAAACAGAACTGCCATGTAAATCACACCTCCTGGAAAAAATATCACACTTGTTGTCAAGCTATACCTAACTGTTCTGAACACTCTGCAATAGTTGATGTATGGGAGACCAAATGCAATGAAAGACCCTATTGGCACATTTGGTTTGAACTTGAATCTACAATGTACATGTATGCATTTCTGATCATTCAAAATCAAATAGATCCATGCACAGCCCTACAATAAAGCTCTGCATTGTGACAGAGTAAAGGTGTCTGACCCACTGTGAGTAGGCCGATAATCTGGTTTACATGAGGGCAAGTCCAAGCTATTTTGATCCCTACGTCATAGACCAGTGAGACCACATCTACGATTGGAGTAATCCGATCATGATATCAAGATAACAGACCTACTAGAGCTTTTATCAAGATTCAAGATTCAAGATTCAAGATTATTTTATTGGTCCATGCATGCAAACATAACATAGACATTTTGCTTCCAATGGCTTTTTTGACAGTGAAAATACAAATGATAGAAAATATATTATAACATTTAACAATAGAAAACTATGTACATAAATATGGATAACTATTTATAGTGCATATGCCCCTCAATTTCCTATTGCCTACATTTAACATGCGTCATAAATTAAAATGTCTCATAATATAATATAGTATTTCTCGTCACCCCCCCCCCCCCCCCCCATCGACTAGCTCCCGATCCACAGATGGTTTTGGATTTGCAGAAAACAGGAATAAATACCTTTACATTCATATTTCATGATTATAAATGCGTGATATAATTACGCAACACTTCTACAGTAAAATGAACTCTTAACGATTGAAGAAATCAAGTTAACAATTTACCGGCACAATCGTATGAATAACATGCGTCATAAATTAAAACGTCAATCCAAATAGGAAGTGCAAAACACATTTGATCAATCTAAAACTCTGCAATACTTGATGATGTATGCAAGACTAAATTATTGGACTTGACCATGATCCTTGATCTCACCTGGAATATCCAGAAACCTGCAAACTTGAGGCAATTCTCTCGTTTGTCATCAAATCGTTTGTCTTCGCCTATCTTTATGATCCTATACAAGAGATATCCTGATAGACGAATCCCCCACAAGCACACTAGAACAGTCGCCACTATCTGACGCACACCATACGTCTGAAAGAGGAAAATGAAAATACAGTGAAACTCTGCAGTCGAGTCCATTTGGAGCACCAAAAAGTTAGACTTACCGGTATGCAAAATTCAACTTAGGAAGTGTAAATAACATGTTTCCTTTCTTGTTATATTTTTCATTCAACTTTAATAGGGAAAATTTGACTTGTGTGACTTTCAGTTACCGGTATATGCAATTCAACTTTGATAGGAAAAATTTGATTCGTGTGATTTTCAGTTATGCAGAGTTATCCCTATTATTATATAAAATCTGTCTTTCAATAATTAACAATTTCTGTTATTGCTACTTTCTCATAATGGAAAATACTGAAAAAGATGAATGAGAGATTAAAACATTACTTGAGAGAAAATTCGGAGGCAAATTGCAATTATGTAAATAAGTATGTTGGATTAAATGTCAGTGCTTTGGTTTTCAAGTTGTTTGGCAAGAAATGATCTGCACCGACTAGTCCTGCCTACCACTCAATGTTATAACACTCCTATAGTTTCCAAATGGATAATTGACAGACCAAAAAGTGTTTCGATCTGTATCCTGTAGCATCTCCAGCTACAACAAAAGTCTGGAGAAGCTTGCAGCATGGCTTATCAAAACAGTTAATTTGACTACAGATTGTGAAGAAAGAACTAATTTTCAAGTTCATGTTTAATGCAAGACTTCAATTATTCTCAAGAGAAAGACATTGCCTTTACATTAGCATTTACCTGAGCTAGCAAGAATGAGAGTAATGCTAAGACGACAAAGTTGGTTCCCCCAGCAAAATCTGTGACCTTGTCAAACTTGCATGTTGCTGCTATAATGAAGAAAGACGTCTGCATTGCCACGGTAACAATGGCACATAAGGCCAAGTTGTATTCATCAATGATAAATGGACCACCAGTACTGTTATCTGAATTAGTCTCCATGGTGTAAATCTGTTTGCTGGAAAAGAAAATGGAAGAGAGATAATATCAAACAAACTCATGTAATGAACTTCAGAAAAGTCCAAATTACACTCTTAAAATGAATGCAACAGATGGAGTGTAGGCCCAGCAAAATATAAATTAAATACCCTGGTAATGAGAAGCTGTTAGCATGGATTATATTCACTGTAAAGCACAACCCATTAAATTTGTTTGAGATAGCCTGTGATATCTGAACATGATCCCGCCAACTTTAAAAAAGACGACAGAATTTGGAACTGATTATGAAAGTTAGAATTAACTTTGTTAGAACCATGTTAACAGAGTTTTTTCGGCAGGAAGACTCAGCTCAGCATGCATAACTTACGCAAGACTATTTAATAGTAACATAGTTTAGGTATAGCTGTAATATATATGTTGTCTTTTAGCCGAAAGACAAAATAAGATAAGAATTAAGATAGTATTAGGGAGGCCAATGCCCGGGCGTAAGGCTTCTACGCCTACGATTTGTGCGCTCGTCGTCCAAGTCAGAAAATTACCAGAAGAAAAAAAAGAAAAAAAAAAGAAAACAAATATCTATGGAATAAAATATATGACAAATACACAATTACACACTCCACAACATACCTATAATCACGGATCTGTAACGGTCTTTCACTATTTGTTGATGATCTTGCAGATTTTGACATATTTGAATCCAATAATTGTTTTAGCAGACGAACGTAACGCGCACACAAGGGAAACTAGAGGGGTCCTAGAGGGCGCGGAGATTAGCTCACTAAAATCCTTCTCAATGGCAGAAGGTAGACCCTAAAAATATGGAATCCAATTTAAATGAAAAAAATTTTGATAGAGATTAACATATCAGATGTGCACAAATGTCACTTTTAACAACTAGAAAATATAACGAAAAAAGATTATATCTTTTTAATTGCAGATTTTCATAAACTGCACATTCAAAGGTAGATAGAGTACGATGTTTTTGTCAATCTTGCGTTGGTTTGAGCCCCATAGCTAGAGCCATCTCAAATTGAGAAGCAAAACTGTGAACAGAGATGTCATTGTTCCAGCCCCAAATACTTTCTTGCGAATATGTATGAGCTCCGGTCTCATCATGCGCAAAACAAATTTGACGTAGTCTCACACATAGTACCTTATTCTCAGCACTAGACACCAGTGTTGTGCAGTAATGTATGAGAAGTGTAAAAAAAGACATTTCAGTAAAAAAAAAAAAGTCTACGTGAGCAGTCTATACTCCAATTGAGAAGTGTAATGAATGCCATGATTTGAACGAATTCCAGACAACTCGCCACAAAGACAACCCGCCCTAAGACAACCCGCCACAATACCCTGGACAACTCGCCACAGGCGAGTTGTCCAGGGTGGGGTGCTTTTCGGACAACTCGCCACACTTTTTTCCCCTCATGATTTCTAGACCTAAAATCCCTCATCTGAGATGAAATTGTAATTTTTTATGATTTTCGTGCTTTTATAAACACAGTCATTACGAAGAATGAAGAATAAAGAATAAAGCTGATTTCCCTTGCAACAATAATATGTTTTTGACAAACCGAAGGCATATACGATCGCCAGATCATTGGGATAACTTCTCTGTATTTAGATCTAGAGGTCTGTAACAGCTGCATTTTTCTGCCTCAGAAATTGTTTAATGGTAGGATACTGGAAGCACTGACGTACTGATGGGGGGGGGGGGGCCGGGGTGGTTATTTGACCCAGCAAAATACAATTGAAATCTGGTTTATTTCTATGTGAGTACCCCTCCCCCCTCCGGGGGTATACAGTGAGACCGATAGTGATAAGAAAGACTCTTGGACATCTGCAGTATGAAGTTGCACCTGAAAATACTTTGTGCTTTTTGTTAAAGCAAAGAAAAATATACGGACTTAACCCTGTTAATGTTAATAATAATAAGTTATAATAATAATAATAAAATAACGTTGGTTTCTTTGTGACATTTTCATCGATCTTGCAGGAAAAGAGTGTATGCTTTATCATTAAATATCATTACGTATGCATTTCTTGCTCAATATTATGTTAGTATTAGTTGTTATTCTCATGTTTCCTGTCATAACTGTGTTTATAAAAGAATAATGAACAGATAAAATGACAATTTCATCTAAGATGAGGGATTTTAGATCTAGAAATCATGAGGGGAAAAAAGTGTGGCGAGTTGTCCGAAAAGGCACCCCACCCTGGACAACTTGCCTGTGGCGAGTTGTCCAGGGTATTGTGGCGAGTTGTCTTTGTGGCGAGTTGTCTGGACCCAGATTTGAACGTGTGTGTGTTTTAGTGTATGATATGGTTAGTGAGAGAGAGAGAGAGAGGGAGAGAAATATCTCCGTCAACGTCAGTACACATCTATCAATGCGTGCAGTCCTATTGACTATGTTTGATTCCGTATAGTGTTCGCTGCAACTTGCAGCGAACACAATACGGAATCAAACATAGGTCTAGTGCAAGTTGGATTTATTGATCGTTGATAATGCAGTGTCAGATTGATCTTTACTCGTGAGGAATTGGAATACATCTTAAAACTAAGGTAGGCCTATTTATTTATTTCAATCACTTTCTTAATTTACAATGAGTGGCTTTCAAGCTTTCTCTCTATTATGTTTTGACCCTCCATGCCATGGCTAGCATGGCTCGATCGCGGCTTGCATGCAATTACCGTACCTGGCCTGCAGTACTGTGTCGATGTGTGTGACTAATTCAAGGCTAGCCGGTGATGATGAATGTACTTTCGCGCGAAGTTTTTAACTTGTTGTCCGGGAAATGACCATGATGACACGCCTATTCCCTCGGGCCTGTCTAATTCTCAACGTAAATTTTGGGACCATGAAATTGATTGTTTCAAGGCTCTTACGTACGGCCAGGCGTAGAAGGAAAGGCATAGAAAAGAGCTGGATATCTCCTTTTTTATGGAAATTCTGGAGTAGGCAGATGGGTGAGTTGTCTTAGTGAAAAAAAAATGCTTTCTTTTAGTCTTTGTTTCATTTTAAACAAATTCGTAATTAAAAAGTTAGATTTGGGCCTCCCTAATAGTATAACAAAGAAAATAAAATTGGTCTAGACCTAGGCCCTAGATGATATTAGATCCAGGTCTTTGCTAACTGTAACAAGTATTCATGAGTAGGTCTAGATCTACTGACTAAATTTCACTAAAATACAAGCTACAAAATGGCTAACATTTAAGAAAAAATGGGCCTGCCGTAGTGCCGTTAATTTGTGGTAATGAATATCCGTTAATTTGTGGTAATGAATATCGAACATTCAGTGCATGCAGTGACTGCACTTACGACTTCTTTCCAAATGTTTTGTCATTTCACGGCACCTCACCCGCACGCCACTAATCACGGGACCGCTGAGCTGCGGTGGGCGTACTTACAAAAATACGCTGGCAACAAGGCGACATCTTCTTCAGCTGGTCTGTGACAATATCGTTCAATACCGTTTCTAAACTTACCAATAGTTGTAGTTCTTTTTAACGTCTCTTATCGGCGTCTTTCAATGTAGCTTTCTCTAGCTCATATTTGTGGACTGGTTCGTACGTGGCCACTCATGGATATGTGTGATGTTTGTGCGGCCCGCAGCGCAATTATGTAATAATGCAAATTGTTGTTTCGTAACAATAGAACTGATTGACCTGCTTCGAGTACGTTTCCGTACCATGCATGCAACGTGCTTTTGTTTATATCGTCGTAGTCTTTTAGTGCCAGTCTCTTTATCAGGAAACGTGTATAAAGTATTACACATTAACTCAAAATACTCCTGGGATCAGTGCTTAGCTAATCGCCCAAAATAGCATTATGATGGTAACCCGACACATGCTCCGCCGACGATTGCTCCGCCGACATTTACTCCGCAAAACGCGACAATTGCTCCGCGACATTTGCTCCGCGACATTTGCTCCGACGTCAAATGCTCCGCCGACAGTTGCTCCGCCGACAGTTGCTCCGCCGACAGTTGCTCCGCCGACAATTGCTCCGCCGACAGATGCTCCGCCGACAATTGCTCCGCCGACAATTGCTCCGCCGACAATTGCTCCGCCGTCAATTGCTCCGCAAAACGCGACAATTGCTCCGCCGACATTTGCTCCGCCGACATTTGCTCCGCCTGAAGCGACACTTGCTCCGCCGACATTTGCTCCGCCGACAATTGCTCCGCCGACAATTGCTCCGCCTGAAGCGACAATTGCTCCGCCGACATTTGCTCCGCCGACATTTGCTCCACCGACATTTGCTCCGCCGACAATTGCTCCGCCGACAATTGCTCCGCCTGAAGCGACAATTGCTCCGCCGACATTTGCTCCGACGACATTTGCTCCGCCCAAAAAGTGTCCCATAAACTACAAATGCTACTAGTACTACGACAAATGCTTCGCCGACAATATTTTCTTTACACCTATTTTTTTCGTTTCTTTTTTTCTTCTTCATTTTCTGAATGCATTTCTTGAAATAATGTAGATTTTTTTTTTATTTATTATAGTTTTATTTTAACAGGGTGGTCTCATTCAAGTTCATTTCTGAGCCTGCTCTCCCAGAGAGCCCTGTATTCACATAAAAAACATGTACAATAATAACATGAATTCAAAACATACATACAAAGGTAAAATATACATGGTATATACAATAATTAAACATAGGTAACGAAAAACACGCATTAACAATAAATTATAAGGAAAAAAAAATACAACTATCAAATTGAAAAAACTAGATGAATGAAATGTAATAAATAAAGGTCAAATTAACGTGAAAATATGTTTACAAGGGAAACTGAAAGGTTTTGACATTCTTTTTAAAACTTTGCAGCGACTTACAATTTTTAATATGATAGGGTAATTTATTGTATATTTTAGCTCCTGAAACCGCTAAGGTTTTCGTTTTAAAATTTGTTTTACACTTTGGAATGAATAATGGACTGTTTAAAGCATAACGAGTAGAATATAATATCGGTCTTTTACTTATACATGGATTAAGATATGGTGGTGATAGGTCGTTTATGATTTTAAAAATCAAGATGCATTTCTGATATGTAATTCTTTCCTCTAATGACCGCCATTTCAATTTACTCATTAAAACATTTTGGGGTGTAAAATATTCGGCACGAAGAACTAATCGTGCATATCTATTTTGTAATTTTTGCAACTTTGTTAGATTTTGTTTCGAAGTATTTCCCCATACTGAATTACAGTAGTTTAAATGCGGTAGGATAAGAGAAAAGTATAATGTAATAAGATTCTTACGGGAAATATAATTGCGTATACGTCTAATGCAGGCAATCGTACCCGATACTTTCTTAACAACTTCGTTTACATGTAACGACCATGTTAAGCTTTTGTCTAGTGTTACACCTAGATATTTCATACTTTCGACTGAGTCGAGTACATTGTCACTGTAACGAATACAAATATTATTATTTTGAATTTTTCTTTTGGAACCAAATAGTATTGTTTTGGTTTTATTTGCATTTAAAAACAGTCCATTGTATTTTAGCCATTTCAAGATACGGGTAAAATCTTTTTGGAGATTGTATTCACAAACTTTATAATCCTTTCCATGATGAAATACTGCCGTGTCATCTGCATATAAGGAAATCTTTGTCTTAGAATGGAGTTGCAGGTTACAAATATCATTCACATAGAGGCAGAAAATTAATGGCCCCAGTATTGATCCTTGTGGAATTCCTGATTTCACAGTTAGAAAATTACTCTTAGTCCCTTGCAAGAATACACATTGTTGCCTATTAGATAGATAGGATTCGAACCACTCAAGTTCAACTCCCCCAATACC